CTTCTCAGTCGATGAAGATTCATAACCTCATCAACTGATTTACCATCATTACCTAGTACCCTGCGTCTAACCTCACTATTACTTACCCGGTGATCCCAGCAGATGCGAGCAATATTTCTAGGGCACCTGTGGTCAAATACTAGTAACTTACGAGTATCTTCTACTCTTGAAGGCCATGTTTCACAGCCGTATAGTAGAACGGAACGAACTGCCGCGCAGTATACTCGTCCCTTAATTGATAGACGGATATCTCGCCTTCGCCATAGATGACGTGAGTTGGCAAAGGCCAAACGAGCTTTTCGAATCCATGCTGAGATTTCGTCAGACACCAACCCATTAGGGCTGATCAGACTTCCAAGATAAGTGAAGTTGTCAATGCGTTCGACTACTTCACTCCCTACCCTTAGTTCAGGTGTTGATGCAGACCAGTCCTGAAGCAACAACTTGCATTTAGAGGGAGAGAAGCGCATCCCAAACATTCTGGCATTGTTGCTTAGTGCTACCAAAAGACTCTGCATTTCATCAGCGTCTTCATCGAACAGAACTATGTGATCTGCGTATTCTAAGTCAATAAGTGGACCTCCTGGTAGGAGATCAATTCAGTCGATGAGAGTGTTATTTCCATCAGTAGATCTATGATGAAGTTAAACAAAAATGGAGAAAGTGGACAGCCTTGGCTGTCGCCACTTGAGGTTGCGAAAGCAGATGACAGTTCGCCATAAGCTCTGACTCGACTAGTAGTGTTCGAGTAAAGAGCCTTCACAAGGTTTATGTACTTTTGAGGTACGCTCTCAAGTCACTATGACCACCTCTAATCCAATTTCCTTTTCAGGTACCTCCAGAAGAATACTTCCACGGTGTGGGCAACCGGGAAGTGATAACCGCCCTCATACCCCTAACAGCACTCAAGACCACTGTATTCATAACCAACCTCCCTCTTCAATTCCTATTATTCCTCCTACATCGACTTTCAAACCTAAACTTCCTCCTTTGGTTTCCTCAAGTGTCACCACAGCCAACGATTCTAGTGCGAAAAACACTGTCCCAGGTCTACTGAAACCTCGCTCCAAACTACACATTGGAGCCTTCAACGTACGCACACTATGTCCAATCGTTCAGCAGGCATCCTTGGCGAAAACCCTAGAATCTCGTACCATTAATGTATGCTGTGTCTCTGAAACACGCATGCAGGATCCTAGTGTGGTCATTCACTTGACCTCACCTCGGCAAAACGGAGAGCCGACGAGATACACCCTCCGTGTATCTGGCGACCCGACGGCTAGTTCTCGTGGACTGGCAGGTGTAGGCATAGCACTAAACATGAGGGCGGAACAAGCGCTATTAGAGTGGATCCCCGTTAACAGTCGTCTATGCGCTGTTCGACTAAACGACTCCGTAAGAACTCGGAAGGATAGGGACACACGTCGTTGCCTTTTCGTCGTTTCTGCCTACGCTCCCACTGACTGCAGTTCGTATGAAGTGAGAGATGAATTTTACAGAAAGCTGTCTGAACTTCTTCAGAAAGCTAAACGTTCAGCATAGTACTCGTAGCAGGTGACTTTAATGCCCAGGTAGGTAGCTTAAACGAAACAGAAAGACATTTAGGTAGGTATTTTAGTATTCCGTCACAGCGAACAGATAATGGTGATCGTCTGCTGCAACTTTGCTCAGACAACCGTTTATTTTTAGCAAACACAAATTTTAAGCATAAGGAGAGACATCGTCTAACACGGCGACCCCCTGCACCAAACCAACGATGGACTCAAATAGACCATATTGCCATCAGTCATCGTTGGAGAGGGTCAATAGAAGATTGTCGCTCATTCTGGAGTACCTGCTTGGACTTCGACCATGCCCTAATACGAGCACGCATCTGCATGCGCCTCACTGGACGCAGAAAAGCCACACTAAAAAGGCCCATCAGAGCTGGATTGAGTAACGAGAAAAGCAAAGGTAGGTTCCAAGAACAACTGAGGTCACACTTAGGTAGTTCTGAAAACGAGGCTGACCCAGATGTTGCTTGGAAAGTTATACAAGCAGTTTTGGAAACAGCAGTGACATCTACTAGTGATTTAAACCACAGGGTTACAAAGAACCAATGGATTTCTTCAAGGTCTATTGCCCTGATGGATTCTCGTAAACTCATCCCATCAGGATCTGAACACGATGATGAGCGTAAACAAATCAGATCTAGGTTAAGCAAAAGTCTAAGGAACGACCGTGAGCAGTGGTGGGCAACGGAAGCAAAATAGATGAAAAAGGCGGCGGCTATAGGGAACACAAGACAACTCTACAGACTAATAAAAGAAACTGGAATTAATAAGTCAAGTGTAAGTCAGACTATTTCGGAAAAAGACGACACTCTCATCTGCTCCCAGTCCAGACGCTTAGAACGATGGGCGGAACACTTTAAGGAGCAGTTTAGCTGGCCTTCAGCTACTCTACAACTACCCTCTATTCCCAGACAGTGTGAATGGAACATTGAAGTAGGTCCCCCAACTCTAGCTGAAGTTCAAAAGGCTATAGTTAATCAATAAACGAGGAAGGACAGCAGGTCCAAAAGGTTCGGCTCCAGAGGTCTTTAAGGATGGTGGTCCAATTTTAGCCACTAGGTTGACTAATATTTTAGCTAAAATCTGGGAGTTGGATGTAATCCCCTCTGACTGGTCACAATCACTTATCATCCCAATATATTTATTATTTTATCTATTTTAACACATAAGTATAGGTACAGGGAGGCACCAAGTACATATGTGCCACACGAATCTCAATTGATTTGTGTGAGGACTGTGATACTGCTCGTGTGCCCAAACCGAAGCAGGTGGTTTTCTTAGGGGGCCACACCCCGAGCCTTTGACCTGAACGTCTGACCGACAAGGCAGTGGAGCATCGTGAGGAGATGCAGTCCCATGCTAGCCGGTGACCAACGATTGGTTCATACGCCATTTGTCCCCTCAGGATACTGGAGCCCATGTGTACCATTGGTTTGGGGTGCGGTTAAAGCGCCGGACATTCGCTTTTCTTCCTCTCATTTTTATAAACAACACCCCCGCCACGAGAAGGCAGTGAGTAGGACTTCCCTGGCAGAGGCTATATACGCATGGCCACGTGAGAGCATTTCGAGAGGGAGAGCGGACTCTCCCCACTCTCAGCCGTACCAGGGCATTTGTGGGGCATCCCAATATATAAGAAAGGGTCAAAATCATCCTGTGACAACCATAGAGGGATTAGTTCGACTAATATAGTATCTAAAATACTAGCCTCGATAATTATCGGACGCCAAACTAAGACTCGTGAACTACAAACACGACAGAATCAAGCTGGCTTTAGACCTGGTCGTGGATGCATAGACCACATATTCACCATTCGTCAGGTTCTAGAACACAGGCATAATTATCGGCATCCGACAATAGTGGTCTCCCTTGATTTAAAAGCAGCGTTTGACTCTGTTGACCGAGAGGTTCTGTGGCAGTGTCTGTCATTGAAAGGCGTACATCAGAAGTACATAAACCTTGTGAAGGCTCTTTACTCGAACACTACTAGTCGAGTCAGAGCTTATGGCGAACTGTCATCTGCTTTCGCAACCTCAAGTGGCGACAGCCAAGGCTGTCCACTTTCTCCATTTTTGTTTAACTTCATCATAGATCTACTGATGGAAATAACACTCTCATCGACTGAATTGATCTCCTACCAGGAGGTCCACTTATTGACTTAGAATACGCAGATCACATAGTTCTGTTCGATGAAGACGCTGATGAAATGCAGAGTCTTTTGGTAGCACTAAGCAACAATGCCAGAATGTTTGGGATGCGCTTCTCTCCCTCTAAATGCAAGTTGTTGCTTCAGGACTGGTCTGCGTCAACACCTGAACTAAGGATAGGGAGTGAAGTAGTCGAACGCATTGACAACTTCACTTATCTTGGAAGTCTGATCAGCCCTAATGGGTTGGTGTCTGACGAAATCTCAGCACAGATTCGAAAAGCTCGTTTGGCCTTTGCCAACTCACGTCATCTATGGCGAAGGCGAGATATCCGTCTATCAATTAAGGGACGAGTATACTGCGCGGCAGTTCGTTCCGTTCTACTATACGGCTGCGAAACATGGCCTTTAAGAGTAGAAGATACTCGTAAGTTACTAGTATTTGACCACAGGTGCCTTAGACTTATTGCTGGTATCTGCTGGGATCACTGGGTAAGTAATAGTGAGGTTAGACGCAGGGTACTAGGTAATGATGGTAAATCAGTTGATGAGGTTATGAATCTTCATCGACTGAGATGGTTGGGCCACGTGCTGCGTTTGCCTGAACACCGATTACGACGGCGCGCAATGCTAACCGGTGTTAGGGATAATTGGAAGAAAGTTAGGGGCGGCCAAACCAAAACGTGGCATCAGTGCTTGAAGTCACTAACTTCTGGTCTGAGCCATGTTAGTAGATGTAGACTGCCTGGTTGGGGTCTGCGTGACTATCGTAACCAATGGTTAGAGACTCTTGGTGACATGGCTCAGAATCGACCACAATGGCGTCGGTGTATATACTATCTGTCTTCTTTCAAACTAAGAGATTAAAATCACTTCAAATCTTTCTTTCTAGGAACTAATTCTATCTTTCTGTACTATCTCCTTATACACACTCTTCTATATATTACCACCACTGAATTAACTACTTCTATGAATCCGGTGTTCATCTTGTTGTGTTAATGCGGTATGGCAACTTGGACCGATGCATATATGTGCCTGGTCCCACGTTGCAGCTGACTGACTGAACTTTATTTTCCTAAAGACTCGGAATAATGCAAAGTTTGAGACTGTCATATTCGGCTTTCCCAAATGTAATCCTACTTTAGTAAACATCATAAATCACAGTGAACAGTAACTTTGCAAGTATTACACACTAGTCAGTTAATTCACCTGATATAGATCCATAATTTCAGTCATGGGCTTTATGTCTATCAATTCACACTGTAATTAGTTTCGGATTGTTTGACGCTAAAACGACCACATCATGAACAACAGTTAAATCATCTGATATTTATAAGCTAATATTTTCGAAAATGATGTTCAGTAGAAATGAATCTAAAAGACAATAGTAAGGAGTGATCAAAACATATTGAATAGTAGTGACAAGTAATATAAGACGAAATGAGTCATTTTTTATTTCATTTATATAACCTGCACAAAACATCAGGAAAATAAAAACAACCCCAAGTTATGTAAGTTTTGAATTTAAGGCTGAATTTAAAAGTAGCTCTAGTGAGTATACATGTCTCTCACGATTATGAGGTAGAATCCCCACACCTTTTATTTTTGTTAAAAATAAGATATGACAAGCTCTGATTACATACCGAACTAAAAAGACAAACAACATTAAATCCAACTTATAACATTTAAATTCACGGTTTAAAACACGTACAACAATTACAATACCGAAATTAAAATGAAATCCCATGTATGAATAATTTAAAAGAGCAGCTAAAAGAAAAGTTTTTAAATGCCAGATAGGGAGTGTTTATCAGTAGTCTCCAAATACGAAATCAAAAGTAAACTACCAGCAAAATATTAGCCTCATAAAATCATATTTACTTTACTAGAATATACTGCTGCAAACAAAATCAAGTGAGACTATTAGGTTTGATAATGAATCGCCAGAAATGAAGAGTATGAAGTTAAGTTGTTTCCGTTAAAGTGAAATCTAATTAACTAATGAATAAATTACACACATGGAGAATGAAGCAAACTTTGCGGTATACGAATCATCAAATGTTAAAATCTAAATCCCCATTATTGCATGAATTACTGACACAGCATAGAACGAGAGCAGATCAATTCGTGTCCGTGGAACAATTAACTATTCTTATTATTTCAGAAGCATCAGATTGGAGCCATGGTCTTTGCCATACAGTGACTTTGCAAATCTTACTCTGAGTACAAAATAAACGGCATTAACATAAATAGAAATACCTCTCCATCAGTTACGTAGCAAGAATTCTGATTAAGAGAAATGTCATCCAAAACATCTAAGATGCACATATTAGTAAAAGGTGTTAATTATCTTACGAATGTTGTCAATGGCAAAAGTTGTGCACGATGTAGGGGAAAACTTGACGAAAAATGTATACAAAGTCCCCTGAACAACCTGTAAAAACGATAACTTGTAAAGACAGAACCTTACCTGGGAGGTCACATTTACCAACTTAGTTATGATGTGAAGATTACTGTTTCCATGCTCGGAATTGAATTTATGAGTTACCTTGACCAACTCATGATTAAATTTTTCTAAATTTGCCTCATTCGGTTGCAGTTTTCTGGGTGCTCCAACCATCTCTGCATCTCCTAAAGTAAGGAGTACAGAAGCGGATACTACAAAAAGGTAACAAAGTGAACTCATTTGATAACACAACGACGGTGACCTTGACTGTTTGCAATTAGCGGCTTTTGTTTTCAGTCCTCAGTATTAGGCTTTAATGAATGGTCTGTGTTTATCCTGAAAGCTTGTGTTGCAGTAAAGATGTGGTGTTTGTACTTATTATGACCGCTTTAAACATGATTGCAACCTTTTTGCGAATTCCAAATATAACGCTTTCAGTTGTGTTCATTTACTTCTTTCTTAAGTCGGATTATTCCGAATATTCTTAGTTGGCACATCAATTAAAATACCTAGTATTATCAAAGAAAGTTCAATCTTTCCATAAAAATTTTCCCTGATGGGACTGGATACATTGGTTCAGTAAGGCTTTTCATTCATTGACCACTCGATGAGAAAAACTAAATTCGATTTTAAGTTTATTAGTTCATGGTTTTCAGACCTTCTTGATGTGGCCTTAGAGATGATAAGTTCTGCAAGGAGCACAGTAATAAGACATCCAAATACGCAAATAGTTATTTAAAAATCTAAATACCATACAAGGTCACATCGCGTTCCACGATAAGTGGAAGCGGTCAGAATGTTTTAAGAGCTGTAATCTAGGTGTGTCAGCATATTTGATAAGAAAGGTACCAACTGCTTGTTTCGTTTCACACAGGTGGAGAACAAAATCCAAAATATATATTCTTCAAAGCGTTTGAATACTCATCGAAGTGACCGTAACGCTTAAAAAACTTTGGCGACTGCTCCAGTACTTATGATTATTAATAATGGGTTTGTTCAGTCTTATAGTTTTGATACACTTGAGAATTCTCAGCACAATGCATTTCAAAAAGATTCTTTTACAAAAAAGAAAACATGTGAAAGAAACTGGTGACTGCATACATATATAAATAAGATAAATGGATAAGTTACCTGGAATTTTTTTGAGATTTTTAAAGATTTGAGTACGAACAACTTCTTTTAATTAAGGACATGTCTGGCAATACTAGTTGTTGACTAGGTCAACTGTAACAACGTTTTCATCACACAGTATATTGGCTAGATAGGGTATCGTAGGACTATTAAAACTTTCCTTGCGTGAATGGATTTTAATGTATCAACGTCTCGTTCTACTATGAGATATACAAGGAGAGACATATAAATGTAGCGGATGCTTAGTATTTGACGCGTAAGCACTTGTCCGAATGTCGCGAAACTTTAGATATCTATTCACAACCATATAAATAATTACCTCAAAAAATTCTCTACACACCCTGGTAACTACCTTTAACACTCTCCGCAATACAGTAAAATCCTGTCCCAAAAACCGGAGAAGAGACAATGAAGAACGGTAAAGAATAATAAGTAATACGCGAGAATTGATAAATTGTGAGAATAAATGTCGAGTAATCCCAAAAGGCATGTTGTCTTTTTCGACAAAAATAAAACGTGAGTAGACCAAGATAGATCGGAGGAGAAACTAATGTATTGAACAGAACACGAGTGAAGAAGAATCGAACGTATCTGAAAACAAATTACAGAACTTGTTAATAAAATCTAACAACCATATATTAAATGCTCACTTTGCAAAATATCCGTCAATTGTCTCAAATGACTCAGCCTTCCTTTGTTCTTGCATTTTCACACAAATTGCAATCTGTTTTCATTCTTTACTTTTCGATCTTCTCGTCTCTCTACTGCACGACTAATATCATATACTACTTATGTCTACATAAGTAGCATACACCACACTTACACAAAGGTAGACGACATTTGACTCTATTTTCACCAAAGAATATTCAATGGTGCAAGCCTCACTTGGATTTCAACAGGGTGCTTAGGTTCTAGTTACTTCCCAGGCTGAAATTAACAGTTCGACATTTAGAAGGACTAAAAATAAAACCTCTAATAACAAACCACCATTCAATACGAGACAAGAACTCATTCGTTTCACGGGGATGTTAACAAACGTGTTTTCTGTGAAAGATGACAGATCACGCAGAAAAAAAGAAAAGAAGAGGGAAAATAGCATCTCTTTGTGGCACTTCTACACGAAACAATAGAGACTTCGGAAACTCCTCCAAACACTGTGTATTGTTCTTTTCCATCGAACTAGGAAGATAGTATGATAATTAGAAGTAATTGAATTATAGTATGAACTAAGAATCCCAGGGATAACGCAATTGAATCAAGAAGTACTACACAAGCACTAACGAATGTACTGTATTTAGAATTCGAAATCAAACATTCAACAAGTACAAAGGAGTCATTAGTTCATTCAAACACCACATCCGCCACAGCTTTAATTGGAGTCTAAGTGTCTGTAATCAATTGTACGTCTTCTCCTCAAGTTCATGCTGTGTCTGTCCGACAATGTATTGGATAAAGACTCTGTATTATCTAGAATGCACTCATTAGTATTAGAATTAACAACTGAAATCGGAACAGACTCACCTGGTTCCTGGAATTGTATTTGATCAACATGTCGATTGTGTGTACTTAAGTCATTGATATCTAGAAGTCAAACCATAGATTTCCCGACATTCTTCAGAACAATCCCCGTGGATGGTCGAAGATCATTACCACGATAATACGTAACTTCTGCAGACTCCAAACATCTCATATTCGACCGAAGAGTTCTTCCTTTTATCAGTTTTGATGGAGTCTCTTTCGTCACCGAATGTCTGGCATTTCTATATTGCAGTAGAAAGGTATCTACTCCCCTCTCCAGCTCATTAAATGTTGAGGCAGCAATAGAATCAATGGCAGTTTTTAACGTCCTGACAAAATTTTCTGCCTAACCATTGGAACAAGGATGTCTGGGAGCAGTAAACAGATGTTTGCACCCTATACCATTTAACCAGGTAGTGACTGCATCTGCAGCAAAATGAGAGCCGTTATCAGTTACTAACACCATTGGAACCCCTTCTCGACCAAACACCTTTCTTAATGCTTGAATTGTGAAGTCAGAATTTGGTGAAGTTGTGAAGAAAACTTCAGGCCACTTTGAAAAAGAATCAATAACTACAAGCGCATAGTATTTGCCAAGAAACGGACCACAATAGTCTGCATGAATTCTCTGCCAGGCCTCAGACGATACTGGCCATGGAGTCCACTTTGAATGCTGATTTTTCAGCTTATGACACTTTTCACAATTGTTTGCTGTACGACAAATATCTGCATTTATCTCTGGCCACCAACATGTAAGCCTCGCCAAGGAATTCATTTTTTCAACAATCAAATGTCCACTATGAAGATCTTCAAGGACGCAATGAAGGAGGAATAACAACACGATCATTTAAACACAAAATACCATCAGAAGTAGTAGATAGCTCATCCCGATTTGAAAAATAGATAGGAAATCTACGTTTCAAATTAGCATTCCAACCTTTCCGTATAGCATTAATTATACATCCAAAGTATTTACGAGTTACTCTAATGAGATCTGGACGTTTCACTGGTAAATGTTGCACTAACAAACAGTCTGATGTATTAACAGGTTTATCTTGTAATGAATGCCGAGAAATGTAGTCAACATGTTGAATTTGTTTGGCACTCCTGTGCTGAACCGTATAGTCATAGGCACTCTAAGCAATACTCCATCGTTTAACCATAGCAGCTGAGAAACCTGCTAAGGATTTTTCAGGATGATAAATAAACTTTAAAGCCTCATGATCAGTAACAATAGTGAATTTCTTTCCGAATAAATATTTATGACGTCTTTCAATAGCACAAAACACAGCTAATGCTTCTCGCTGAGTCTGTGAACAATCTTGTTCAGTAACAGTAAGTTAGCGTGAAACACAGATAACCGGTCTACCTTGCTGTTCCAAAACTGCGCCAATACCCACAGGTGATGCATCAGTGATAAGTACAGACTGTACACTAGGGAAGTAAGTTCGAAGAACAGCATCACTTTGAAGAAACTTTAGTAGTCTACGTAAGCATGACTCTTGTTCCTCACCCCATTTAAATGAATCGGATGTCAAAATATTAAATAAACAATTTGCACGACATAAAAAATTAGGAATAAAACGGGAATAGTATTGAAGAGCACCCACTAGTGTACGTAGTTCCGTAAGATTTTTTGGAGACGGTGCATTTGTCAGTGGAGCTAGTCGTTTCATAACTGGTCTAAAACCATCACCATCAACGAGGTATCCAAGACATTCGAAACTAGATACACAGAATGAACACTTATTTGGATTCACTGTAATCTTCTTCTCAAATAAACGACGCGATATAGCAATAAGTCTCTGGTTATGAACTACCTTATCAGAACCATGAACAATAAGGTCATTTTGATAAACCTAAACACCCTCAAGATCACTAACTTCATTATTCATAACTTCCTGAAATATGTCTGGAGAACAACTTAGACCAAATGAAAGGAAATTGTATTCGAACAAACCAAAAGGAGTATTAATTGTCGTCAAAATAGATGAGGATTGATTTAAAGAGATTTGAAGATAAGCATCTTTTAGGTCAACTTCCGAAAACACTTTAGAACCATGAAGTTGATTTAGAATAGCTTCAGCTTCCACCGCCGCGCATGTTTGTTTTAACAAACAGGAGTTCAGTGTTAATCTAAAGTCACCACATATTCTAGGAATATTGCCATCCGACTTCAATGTAGTACCCCATGCTGAAGACTGGATCGGTTCAATTGTGCCTTTCGCACACAAATCGGTTGGTGTCTTACGTACTGCTTCTCGAAGATGATAAGAAAATTATTCGTCTCTTAAGAAAGACTGGATCACCCTGTACTTGAAGTTTTATAGGCCGAATTTTCATGCCTCCACTGCACTTGGAACACGTAAATATCAAATCATTAAGTAAAGCATCAGAATTTTCTTTGGAAACTAGGACAGACAACCCCAATTTTATCCTTTTCAAATGCCTAAAACCCAGTATTGGCAGTCCTGTTCCTCTAACTAAAAATTCACAAAGTATGCATGAAGAGTTATCATCTCTTATTAGCAATTCACATCATCCTCGTATGGGCAGCCTGTAAACAGTAATTCCCAATTTCGATACTTCAGTGGGTCTTACCACAACGTTAGGAGCCAAAGATTTCAAGCTCTTGAATGAAATAATGGACTCTATACTGTCTGTGTCCACAATGAAGTCATGAATTGAGCCATGCGATGTAAATAATCGCTTTTGAATATGAGCATTACATTTCGAAATGGTAAA